AAAAAAAAAAAAAAAAAAAAAAAAAGAAAAGAAAATCAGCCTATTATAATTTTTTTTTTATGACTGAACTATTATAAATCCACAAGCAACGGTTCAGACACGGTGCTTCTGAAGTGTTTCACCCTCCCTGCCAGGCGCAAGCTGCATCAAGGAGAGGGTGGACTTCCCCACCTCTGCTCAGGCATCAGGAGAAAGGTGGGGTCATTACTGCTGAGCGCCAGCGGCAGTTGGAACAGGCATCCCAAGAGGGTTGGCAGAAGCAATCACCGGTGAGCCTGCCAGAGGTCCGAGGGGTGAAGGGGTTGGCACTGAAGAAATCCCTGAAAGAAAAGAGCTGATAGTCAGCCAGAGACATCAACCAAGTCAATTTTAGCCACCGGTTTTATGTAAAAAGTAACACAATGGAAATTCATTCTTTATTGAGACTTCTTCTTGGCCACATTTTTACATATACATCTCAAGTACATTTCTTGTAAATTCAAGTTAAAATGACAAATCCTACTGAATTTAGCTTGAAGAGTTTGAGCAGTTTCTTCAGGGTAAACAGCTAGTAACTGGAGACTATGCTTGGATTCTAACACAGGCCTAACTAGGGCAGCACACTGCAACAAACTACCTGCTCTCTAACCTGTGCTTTTTAACGTGGTCACCACAGCCAGCCACAGGTAGCTACTGAGCTCCTATTCTGTGGCTGGAGCAACTAAGGAACTCAACTTTTATATTTTCTTCAATTTTAATTAATTACATAGTCACTACTACACTGAAGAAGACAGGACTGCAGTCAAAGCGCACATCCTATTATATCATGCTGCTTTGATACCTAGCAGCTCCCAAAACTACTAAAAGTAATTTAAAGTGAGAAAGAAGTATTTTCCACCTCCAATATGAAGTGGTGCTTTGAAATTCCTACTTCTCTAGTTACCAGAATTACTTGTTATCTTGCCCCTCATCAGACAGTATTAAATTTTCAAAATGCTATATACAGAGTTGGATAGGATGTATACCCAGCACTCCGTAAAGCTGAGGCAGGAAAACTGCACGTTTGAGCCCAATCCCAGTAACTCAGCAATTTAGCAAGCCTTATTTCAACCCCTCCCACCTGTATCCTTGCAAAAAGCCCCAATAACCCTCCTTATATTCAAAGCACACATTCCAGGATACCTGAAATTGCAGACATACCAAACACTATATATACTATGTTTTTCTTATACATACCTATGTATATAAATCCTAATGTGTAAAGGACACAGTAAGTAATCAACAACATAGAATTAGAAAAGTATATTGTAGTGAAAATGATGGGAATGTGTTTCCTCTTGAAAGAGTCAAGACAAATTATTTTTGCACCGGGAGCAACAAAAACTGTGGACAAGGAGGTCTGTAATGTATATGATTTGAAATACAAAAGATTAAAAGAATATTAAAAAAAGTCTTTGATGATTGGCCAATTTAGGGCAACATTTCTGAGTTGTATTCTTCAAGATGTATTTTGTGTATATACAGAAAAATAATTTTATGAGACGATGTAAAAATCATATATAAGAATGTGATTATAGTTACATACTCCTATTTTTGCACATGGGTCTTCATACCCCACTCCCATTTACATTATTTTAGAGCTAGTGCTTTAACACCACCGAACACTTAAGTCATCTTTTTTCTGACCACATCTATTCCACTGAATGAATGGGTGCCTCATAAATGATTTAAACTGGTTCCTACTGAAGCTCTTTTCAATGTTATGTTATATAAATTAGGTTGTGAATAACCTTGGATATATGTCATTTTGTACACAGGTAGGATACTTGAGGATAAATTCTAAAAAGTAGCAAGTTCTTAAAAAAATAAAAAAGTAAGATCATGGCAATAATGAAGAGTCTCTGAGTATCCTCATGACAAGTGTACACAGTTGGATGCTGTCTACACATACAGCCCTCGATTTCTCAATCTTTCTGAGGGCTTCTCAACTACTGTCATTCTAAACTGTGAGACAAAAGATTTCTTACAATTTTTCAATAGCTTATTGGGACTTCAAGCACATCTGTAAGAAACTTTTTGGGATACTGTGATTCTGATCTGAAAGAGATGATGATATTCTACTGAAGACAGCTAACATATACTAAGTCATTAAAGTATACCAAGTGTCAAAATCACCTTGAAATCTGGTGGGAAAAGCTACACGGGCCAGTATGTCACTAAGGACACTCTACAGAAGGACACAAGAAATGAGGCCATGAGGGACAAAATTAAAAACAGTAACTGACTTCAACTTTGTTTTTTGAAAAAGGAATTCACAGTGAACTGACCTGACATCATGTTAGCGCTGCTGACAGGTGTACTGCCCCCTGGCATGCTAGATGAACCCATTCGAGCCTGGTCTTTCACAACAGTATCTAGAAAAGAGAAAAGTTAAGATTCTGTTTTGCTTAAAGGATTACACAAATTGGTTTGGGTGGCCTCAGAGTAGCTACCTTCAATCTTTGTGTTTTATTTCTACTTCATTATTATTTCTGGAATTTAAAATGGCAACTGCCTTCTTCACCGTGAATTACACTATTAGCACAAAATGGAAATACCTTTCCTATGCAATTGGAAAGGTCAACTCTTGAACCAATGGTAGGAAGATGAGGTAATTATCTGTAGTACAGCTGATTTAAAATGAAGCTGGTGGGGGGCCAGGGATGTAGTGGTGCTATGCCTGTCTGGCAAGCACAAGGTCCTGAGTTCAATCCCCGGTACACAAACAACTAAACAAACAAACCAAAATGAAGCTGGTGAGAAAAAAACACACAAAAAGAAAACAAAGCAAAACAAAACAAATCAAGCTTGTCATGCTGGGGTTTAATGGAGACAATACAATCAACCTAACCAGGTCAAGACAGATTTTACTGGAATGAATTGATTTTATTTTATTTTTTTGACAGGGTCTTGCTAAGTAGTTCAGGCTGGCCTCGAACTCAGAGAGATCCTCCTGCCTCAGCCTCCTAAGTGCTGGAAATATAGATATGTGCCACCACACTCGGTTCGGCATGAATTTAGTAGTTTACAGCTCAGCTATTCAAAGCATGGTGCCCAGTAGGTCAAAGCTATAGGTCTGTGTAGGTTAGTGCTATGACCACAGACCTCACTCTCCATCCCTATCAGCCTATTCATCTACTTCAGGTACAGGAGCCTGGGAAAGAGGGTAACTGATTCAGTCTAAAACCATCCTACCGCTCCCCATGAACAAATCAATGACGAAGCTGGCATCAATCACCATTGCCTGGGGTAGGTCTAAGTGGCATTACACTCAGACGGTATACTTAGCTACACTCACAAACCTAATCAAGGTGTTCATACAATACTGACATTTGTAATTCTCACTGGCTCTCTCCAATTAATGATTACTAGAGACAGGACAAGGGAGATTCACGCCACACCAGACACGAAGAAGTGTCACTCACACAGAATTTTAGAGGTAACAATCCTCTCAACAATTCTGTATAACAGTTGGTATTACTTTTCTTATGTGAAGGAACTGACTCAGTGCAGGTAAAGCAACTCTGCAGCGAGCTACCAGGAGCTGTACTGCAGCTCTCTATTGTACAGACTCTAGGCTGGAGCATTCTTCACATCGTGTTCTACCTCACCTCATAGTCTGCAGGGCAGTGTAGGAGGGCTTGCCCAGGCTCTTGGGGCTGAACAGTTGGACTCACAGAAATAGGGATGTTCCATGGCTTCTCTTGCAGTGAGCCGTGACTGGTGATCATATCGCAGCAGCTTATCCAGGAAATCCAAGGCTTCTGGGCTGACAAGGTGCTGGTTTTCACTGTGGACAAAGCGCTCCCATCGTTTACGAGAGTGTCTGCAAGGCCAAATGAAGGAATGAAAAATGGGCCACTGAGGGCAGAGGTTCCCAATTTCACTCCTATATCTTCCTTAGTGGCTAGCTAAGCAAACATCAAAGAGAGGTAAAATTCCAACTGGTTATCTTGTACCACTCTGCCACAGAGGGCATGGGGGCTACAAAGTTAACTGGAGATTGGGAATAGTAGTATAGCATAAAAGAAATCTAGGTCCTCTCAATTTTAAGAACTGTAATTCATTGGTTACTTTACTGGATGTGAACACTCCTATGCATCAGGGAGGGTCAGTGGCTGAGCTAACCAGCCTCTTTCACAAACACACACACACACCCCTAACATCTCTGCCACTTGACCAGCAAAAGACTGCATGAGAAGGTTCAGCTCTTGCTAGGTGGTTAGTATTTAAGTATTTTGTCTAGTCACTAACACCATAATAATTTGTGTGCACATCAGGCTATTTCTTTCTTGTGGGGAGGAATCTGTCATTTAAATAAGCAAGCTAAAGATCTTTATTTTTTGGGACAACAAGAGATAGAGCCTTGACATCGAGATACATCCCCAGCCACACACACCCTGTTTTTAAGTTTTGAGATAGGGTCTTGCTAATTTGTCTAGACTAGGCTCAAACTAGGAATCTTCCTGGCTCATGCTCTCAAGTAGCTAGAGGTGTATGCCACTGTGCCTTGCTAAGACTCTTGATTTCTGACTCAACTATAACCTTTCTTTCATAACCTACATTTCATTAACTTCACAGGAATCCTTAGATTATAATCTGCACTCTCGCCTGCTTAATATAACACCCTGCAACACCAGACTCACTCCCATTTTAGCAATGCTGACAAACAGAATAGGACTACTTTGAGGACCCAAAATACTAGTTTACATCCAAAGAGTTTAAGTCATAGATGTACAGATTTTCTATTTATGACTTACCTGCCCAAGATATCATTGAAACGGGGATCTAATTCAATGTTGTATTTGTCAATATAATCATATAAATCTTCTGTCCCCAGAACCTTGGCTATCCTCACCAACTAGTATTGAAGAAAGAAAAAAAACCCACACAACATTCAAATTACATGATTAAATCAACAATTAATCATAACCCAATCAACAAAAAGGCATCACTATGCCTCCAAGTATGAATGTTAACTACTACCACTTTAAACTTGAGTGTGGCAGAAATGAATTTTCATATAAAATTCCCTAGCTTGATGCATTATGAAAATGTTATAAAGAACAAATAAAATGTTTTATAATATGGTTGGTTCCTTCTCTTGAAATGTCCTCCTAATGGTCTTAACTTTTTCCCTCCTCAAAACCCAAATGAAGTCTGGGGATTTAGCTCAGTGGTGTTGCTGCCTGCCTCACAAGCTCAAAGTCCTGAGTTTGGACCCCAGGTACCAAATAAATGAATGAAGGAAAGAAGGAAGGAGGGAGGGAAGGAAGGAGGGAGGGAGAGGGAGAGGAAGAGGGAGAGGGAGAAAGGGAGAGAAAACCCAAATGAAGAAGTCTCTTCTTTTGGGAAGCTGCCCTTCGACACCCTGACTATTCACCACCACTGCGCTCTGTACATGTCACACTTTTACTGAGTGTTTCTTATCTGTTTGATTCCCTTACGGATAAGACTTTTCTCTATATCCCTCAGTTCAGCTTACCAACTGACAAGAGCTGCTGAATGAACTTCAGGTAGCAGTCTTTGACTCTTTGAATCATTAAAGATAACTACTATGCTCAAAGGGAAGTCAACAGGACTTCCATAAGGTTCTAGAAATTTTCTAGGTTCTCCTGAATGAAACCAATCCTTGATACTCAAGGGGAAAGTGCAGTTAGATTAAAAAAATACCACCTGTATTTCTACAGGTATATAAATTCAGCCATATAGAGATTCAAAGGATTACATAAGTATCACATAAAGTAAACATGTTAGAGAAAATATCTCCAGGGCTGGGAATTTAACTCAGTGGTGTTGTGCCTGCCTTGCAAGTGCAAGGTCCTGAGTTTGATCCCCAGTACCGAAAAAGAAAATATTTCCAAACTTAATATAAGTTCAGGTTAGGATATTCTACAGTAAGGCACTATTCTTTATGGTCTGGATGACAATCATAAGTATTATTCTTTGAAATGCACGTATGCTTTATAAAATATTACATGTCCATTTCACAATAAAACAAGCAATGTAAACTAAAAAGATCAGGGTAGGCAGGGAGAAGCAAATAAAATCTGATTCCAAAAGGCTGAACTGATAGCTCCCAAAAATACCCATCTGAGGATCAATGTTGGCAGGCAGAATAAACAGTGATGTGAAAATTATTCCCTATCTTATGAGATCCTGAACTAACAGGGTTTAGGTGGGGGAGGGAATCTATATTATATCAAGATGCACTGGTGTTTCTAAAGAGTGTGCAAGTCTTACCATCATTACATTAGATAAATGAGTTCCTTATGGGAACAATATATATTACCTGATCATAATTGTCATGTCCGTGGAAAAATGGCTCCTTCCGGAAGATCATACTTGCCAGCATACAACCCAAACTCCACATATCCAAACTATAATCATACATCTACATTAAAGGAAATGCACAGTTATCATATATGAATCCCCAGGCTTGTCCCTTCAAAATAAAAAATAACTTTTTGCCGGGCACAGTGGCATACACTTGTAATCCTAGCACTCTGAGAATCTGAGGCAAGAGGATCACAAATTGAAAGCCAGGAGTGGTAGTTCACACCTCGAATCTCTCAGCACTTGGGAGGCTGAAGCAGGATTGCTTTGAGTTTGAGGCTAGCCAGGGAAACATAGTTCAAGGCTAGCTTGAATTACACAGTGAGACCCTGTCTCAAAACAAAAACAAAAATAAAAAGAAAATGAAATAAAAATAAGTCCGCCAGCCAAAATTTCAGTAACTCCATGTAGCTCTCTTTTCAATCTTCTGTATATTCTTTCATCCAGTTTATAAACAACCTGTACATACTGTATGGAACTGTTTTTTTCACTTATACAAAATCCCCAGTTTATTTTATAAATGTATCAGAATTTAATATTAAAGTTTTCTATATTAGGACAGTGTTTTTGTTCATCACTATTTTGAAATTATGTTGTAAGGAATAGTTTAAGTGTAAATTGTGTTTTGGGGCTTAAAGTTACATTCTTTAGGTTCCAGAAATGGAATTTTTAGGACAGCAAAACTATTTTGTTTGGTTTTGGTTTTTTGAGACAGGGGTATGCTTTGCAGTTCAGAATGGCCTTGAACTCTGTGTAGCCCAAACTGGCCTCAAATCCACAGCAATCTTCCTGTGTCAGCCTCCCAAGCACCACCTTACCTGGAAGATTTTTAGCTTTTAAAAACATGTTGTAAATCTATCAGTAATTAAAAAATAACTTTTGTTGAAGGGAGTCTTTTTATATTTAGGGTACAATTTAGTAGATATATAAGGGAACAATTTTGGATTTATTCTTAAAGCTGGTTAAGGCTAGGTTGAAATTCAACCAGTTTTGGAATTTCTGACTAGAAAAAGTATTTTGGGTGACTTTTTTTCTCTTGGGATAAAATGTAGATTCATTTGTAGTCTACCGACATAATGCAACATAAATTATGCTGGATGAAATGATTTATATATTGTATTTCACATGCAAGGAATAGCTATGAAATGTGCATAAATGGTTTGCTCAAAAGCACAAAGTGACTTTTTGCAAGTTATGGGCAAAATAAACTTAGGACCAAAACTGTACTTGCTCTTCTCTTCTCACCTGATAGTCTACAAGTAGCTCAGGGCCTTTGAAGTATCGGGAAGCAACTCGGACATTATATTCTTGACCAGGATGATAAAACTCAGCCAGACCCCAGTCTATTAGCCGTAGCTGAAAGAAAAAAAAATGAGAATAAACCATAAATTTTTTTCCTCTAAGATATTATCATTCTGCCATTAGAATACTCTTAAAACTCCATGAATGTCACATTAAAGCTAGGTGTGGTGGTGCATACCTGTAATTCTAGCATTCTGGGAAGCTAAAGAAGAGGATCACAAAGTTCAAACCTGGCCTGAACAACTGAGACTCTGTCTCAAGAAAAAGAGGGCAGAGGATGTAGTTCAGTACAAAGGTCCTGGGGTTAACGTTGGGGGGTGGGCTGGGTGGGAAAAGAAATAAAAGGAAAGAAGGAAGGAAGGGACAAAGTTACTAGTTACCTATAGCTGTTAGGATAAAAATAACATTTCTTAGCTTAATATGCAGCTTTCTCCACATTCTCAATGCATGTTTTCATGAATTTCTTAAACTGTTCACTTCGCTAAAACATTCCTGATCTCCAATGTTCTGCTATCTACCAGTGAACAGCTTGCTATTTTGAGGGACACCAAATTTAAATTAGCTCCTCAATGAAGTCTTTCTAATCATGCAAGTAGAATGAACAAACTATTCTTCAGTCCTCTGAACCTTAGACATACTTCTTTAGTGTAGTTCTTTGTGGTCTGTTTGTTTCCTTTCTTTTTAAAAATATCCTTGAGGGTAAGACTGTTTCATTCACCTTTATAATTTGTAGAATTTAACACAATTCCTGGTACATAATATAAACTTATATACCAGTAAATATTTGCTGAGTGAATTTCACCAAAATGAGTCTTGAAAGTGGACAGAGACTAGTAAGACAAGCAGCACTTTATCTGATCAATCCATGTTCTAAAAGTGTGAACAGCAGGCCTTAAAGAATCATACCTGACCAAACAAGCACTAAGTCAAATCGTTTATAAAGTAAGTCCCCGATTTACGAATGAGTTCCATTCTGGGAGAACATTTCTATGTTGGATTCGTTTGTAATTCAATAAAGTGGGTCTTCTACAGAGTATCTGTGAAAGTTTGCAACTTCAATGTTCATAAGCTCGGGGCTCACTCAAAACTAAACCTCCAATTTCTAGCAAACCCAACTCTACTCATATTCTCTTTGATTAAAAGTGATCTCGGGCCGGGGATTTATTTAGCTCAGTGGTTCTGCCTGCCTTGCAAGCATAAGGGCCTGAGTTCTATCCCCGGTACCAAAACAAACAAACAAACAAAAAACCAACCAACCAACCAACCAAACAAAAAAACCAAAAAGCACCTAAAAGTGATCTCAACCATTCTATCATTTAATTCAGGTGAAAACAAGACTGACTTTGGATTCTGTTTCTCTTGCAACTCATATTTCATCTATCAACAAATCTTGTCGGCACTACTGTATTCTTTCTTGTTTTTTGTTCTGCCATATTCTGCCGTACGATCATCTCCAGTGCCTCTGCTACCACCATCTCTCTTGATTTACTGCAACAGCCTGTTCTCCTAACTGGTCTACCTAATTTCAGTCATCTCTACTATAGACAGTAACCAGAACAATCCTTTAAAAAAGCTGTTAGTTTTAAAACAATAATAGAGGCTGGGGATTAGGTTTTGAGTTCAATTCCTGGTACTGGAAAAAACAGAAAACAATTATAGATTCACAGAAGTTGCAAAAATAGAAGTTCTGTGCACCCTTCATTCAGTTTCCCTCAATAGTAGCATTTAACATACCTACAAGAAAACCAGGAAACTGACATTGGAACAATTCATACACAGAACTTATTCAGATTTTACTAGTTTTGTACTACTAGTATGAATGTGTAGTGCAATTTTATGATACCACCAGATACAGAACTCTTCCATCACCACAAGGGTGCTCCACATGCTATTCCAAGTCTTAATAAAAATCTCTTCTCAATGTATTGTTTTCATGAGGAAAATGTTATGTAAATAGGATTGGATCATTACATATCACTTTTTTTTTTTTTTTGAGATAGTCTTGTTTTGTAGTTCAGACTAACCTTGAACTCATGGTGATTCTCTTTGCCTCAGGCTCCCAAGTGCTGGTATTACTGGTATGTGCAAATAATAGTTTTTGATATAGTATTGCTTTTTTCACTCAGCATAAGATCATCCAAGTTGCTGCATGTTAACAGTTCTTTCCTTTTATTACTGAGTGACACTACTTACAAACAGTAATACATGATATGGTTATACCATTCATGTAAGAACTATATTTTTCTTCCTTTTTTGAAACAGGATTCTGCTTGTAGTTTAGGCTGGCCTCAAACTCACTCTCTGGTGCATGGTGGCCTCAATTTGGAGTGATCCTTCTGCCTCAGCCTCCCAAGAGCTGGGATTACAGGTGTACACCATTCACATCTGGCAGTATTTTTTCCCCCAATTTTGAGCTATTAGAAATAAAGCTTCAATCATGTTTACAGGTTTTTACGTAGACCCAAGTTTTAGATAAATGAGATTATACAGTAAGCATACATTTAATGTATGTTGTTTTATGTTTTTGGTATCAGGGATTGAACTTGGTCCCTGTGCTTGCAAGGCAGGCAGTGGAACCACTCAGCTAAATCCCCTACATTTAATGTATGAAACCGACCAACTATGAAACCATTTCGCATTTTCCAAAATGCTAAAATTTTACATTCTCACCAGCTATGTACAAGATACCAAATTTCTTCATATCCTCTCCAACACCTGGTATTATCATTATTTTTTATTTTAGCCTCTATATATGAAGTGAACTAGTGAGAACATAATTGTTCGTCTCAGACCCTGAAAAAAACTTTCCATCTTGAGAAAAGGTCTGACAATGACCTGTAAGGGTTTACATGATTTGGTTTTCTTTACCTCATTGACTTCATTTCCTGCTCTTCCCTTTTTTTTTTCCTATCCCAGCTCTATCCTTGCTACTGTTTCAACATGCTAGCCTGTAATACTATGTTGTATTTTGTATTTTAGTTTTTCACTCTGGCTTATAATTTCCATAGCATCTGTTATTCCCTAATGTCTCAAATGATAAGCATATCTTCTGTAAAATATGTGATTTTTTTGTCATTGGTTCTTGAGGCAGTTTCAGAACAATAAAGGTCAAAGAGTGGTGCTGGGGCACTGAAAGCCGCAGAAAGCAAAATTTCTCCCTCTGTCCTCTTTTTGTATGCATCTTTACAGTGCCTGCTTTGGCAGCACATGTACTAAAAGGAGATTCTGAACAGACATACTTTACTGAGTTTTGCCACTCAGTCTATCAGCATCAGATCAGATCCTTTATCTGTTAAATCACTTTGCTGTATGATTGTCCATACTTCAATCACAATTACACAATGAAGTCTCCCTAAAAACCTAAAAGGACAGAGTTTGGAGAGTTTCTGGATAGCCATGTGGAGGATCCAAGATGGTGTGTGCTTAGAGCTGACACGGAGGTTCTCTGCCCCCTTTCCCAACATGCCTTGTTCTATGCAACCTTTTTATCTACACCTTTCATAATATCCTTTCTAATAATCTGATAAATATGTTTTGGGTTCTAGTAACCCAGTCAAGTTAACTGAACCCAAGGAGGAGGTTGTGAGAACTCCAAATTACAACACGTTGGTCAGAAGCAGAGGTGAAAGAACCTGGGTCTTGCAAAGGGAGGGTGGGAAAGTTCTAGGATCTGATGTCAGCTCCAGGTAGACAGAAGCAGAATGAATCAAATTAGAGGACATCCAACTGGTATGTGCAACTATAGAATTAACTGCTGACTTACTGATGAGGATAAATCCTCATGTCTTTTGGGGTCACAGAACTGATCTCAGCTGTGAATATATACTAGGGACTGCATTTGAATTGGTTTTTCCTCTACTTGTTCAACATGCGCACAATCTTGCTTTAGGGCTTTTGTTCTTGCATTTCCTCTGCCTGTGACACATTTCTTCCTGTTACTGCATGCCTGGGCCCCTTTTAGCATTCTCTAAAAGTATCACCTTTACAATGAAACCTTCCTTTACCCCTTAAAGCTGAAACACCTCTGCTATTCTCTATTCCCTTATTTATTTGTCTTCAATGCCACTTTAAACTTTCCACCATAACCAGCCTCCTCCAAATATAACCTCTTTATGGATAAGCATTTTTTCCTCTGCTTTGCTCACATGTACATCCCATCCCCAGCCTCTAAAACAGTGTCAGTTACATAGTATGTGTCTAAAACATCACTAGTTTAGTCAACAAATCACATCCCCCCAAAATGCAAAGGATAATTACCATTGCTTTTAAGAGGTAGGCTTGATCACCATAAAAAAGTAAAATGTAGCCGGGCATGGTGGTGCATGCCTGTAATCCCAGCACTTGGGAGACAGAGGCAGGAGGATCCCTGTGAGTTCAAGACCAGCCTGGGCTACACCGTGAGTCCCAGATCAATCTCAACTACATAGTGAGACCCTATCTCAAAAACAAAAACAAAACAACAAAAAAACCAACCAAACGAAAACTAAAATGTTACAAAGTACATGGCCATTACAGCTCTCATGTAAAAGCATGTGTAGAAGTCAAAGGCCTCATGACACTTGCTAATCAAAGCAGTATTTTCTTAACACTTAAGAATTTTACACTTTTAATTCTCGCATTTAACCTAATGGCATGCACAACAACATTATACTCACTGTACAGCTTAAGAAAAAGAAAGTAAATGAGACGAAAGAAGTTTCTCAGGAAACTAGTTATCATTAAGTTAAGAAAAACCTCATTTCCTATTCTAGACAAATGTTTTACCCATTATACAAATGGAAAACATTGACAGCATTCTCAGAAACATAGATAAAGGTTTAAGTATGCTGATTTAATTCAGTCAGTCACTAATTTTTATTGAGTGCCTAGTAAGGGTCATGGACTATGACAGACACTAGGGATAAAGTGCTGAAGAAGGGCTTTACTCCATCATGGAGATATAAAACTTGTCAGACTGTTAGTTTACCTTTCTATGCTCATGATCAATCATGACATTATGGGGCTTCACATCTCTGTGCATAATTCCCATGCTGTGACAATAATCCAGGGCCTGAGAAAGGGGCAAGGAAAGAAAAAGTTAGCCTGTGTAAAAGTGATTTTTTAAAATTTGTTTTTGGCACTAGGGATCAAATTCTGGACCTTGCGCTTGTGAGGCAGGTGATGACACCACTGAGCTAAATCCCTGGCTGAGTGATTTTTTTAAAAACATAGTCCTGACTTTTTCTTCCATGTATGTAGTCCTTCTAGCTCACAATGACCCTGGGAATCAGGATCAGGACAATCACTCCCACTACTATTATTCAGTAACATGTTTAGGATCCCACAGTCAAGCAAATTCAGATTCAGAACCTCAAATTCTGTTTATAGGGTAATTTCGAAATTCTTTCTGTTCAGAAGAATTCAAAGCATACACCAATTGCACTATTTCTAATTTCTCCCTTATTCAAAGCCTAGATTATCTCTAGAACCACAACCTCTCAAAATATCTGAAGAACAGATAATTCTTTAGTGGCTAAGAATATAAAACAGAGGTTGACAAACTACTGCCATGGGCTATATCTGGCCTGCTATCATTTCTTGTGAATAATGCTTCATTGACACACAACCAGCTTGTTTGCATACCATCCATGGCTGCTTCTGTGCCATAACAGCAAAAAAGAATCCTATGACAAAGACCCCTTGGCTCATAAAGGACTCTCTGGCTTCAATGGAGGTCATCAATCAATTCAATTTGAAAAGTTTGTAACCTCAAAGTAAGGTGAACCGAATGACACAACCTTTCAGTTAATCCTGGCCTTTCAGTCAACTGATGTCATTAGCCAAGTTCTTGCCTTTCCTCAAGGGCAACTTGGATTCCTACAGCTGGTGCATTAGGCCTGATGCCAACCTGGTTTAATAAGAAACTTTAGCCAACTCTCAGCAATTCTTGCCTCTATAAAGGTGATACTGTAACTATTGGAAGCAAGATATATTTGGTGATCTCATTATCAAAGTCTATTCTCAATCAGCAATCCCTAAACAGAGATTTACACAATTCTTGGGATAATGACCCTTTGAAGGTTAAGTTAAAGTTTATGGTTTCACTTGTTGAATCTTAAGTAAAATAAAATACACTGGAAGCTAGCACATCAAGAGCTATTTTTATAAATTTTGACAATATCATTTACTCTTGGCTCTTTTCCAAATTCTTCACAAAGCATTAAAAACTGCATTCCTACTACTACCAGCTTATAAAACTTACAGTAGCCCAAGGGTTTGAATACTATTAAATTATCATTAAAAACTTAGCTTATACATATAGGCCCCTTCTTTCATATAACTTTACATAGTTTGCTGGGTTTTCTACCATCAACTGGACTATTTAACAAAGCCAAGGCTAATTTAAAGATATTAAGTATCCAAAGCTCCTTACCTTCAGAATTTCATACATGTAAAATCGAATATCATAGTCTGTTAACGTCTGGTACAATTGCTGTTAAAAACAAATGCAACATTTCAGCCATGAAATAAAGCTAATAGGAAAGCAATTTCTCATCCTTACAGTAATTTAAACTAAGACTTAGCTCAACTGCCACTGTTTCAAGACCCGTATATTCACTCTTATTTCTCCAACTTAATACTCATTTTAAAGAGATACTGTGGGTTTTCAACTGTGAATGTACAAGTGCAGAAATACTTAAACTTGCATTGGTGAAGTCATAATTCACAGCTGGGAGAAAATACACATTTACAATTTACTTTCCTTTTCCACTACTTATAAGACACTTTCGCAAAGACAAAAAACCCTTAAGTGGGGAACTAAACTACCTTCTACAGCACATTTATGTGTTATCATCACTAGGTATGTCGATGGCACAATGCCAAAACTGTTGAGCTACTTTAACAGAACTATTCCTGTCCTAAGCTGAAATTAAAACTCTGAACAACTGTTAAGTAGCCTGTACAGTTTCCAAAGGGCTGCAGAATTTTTACTTGTACATATTTTTAAATACCCAGTAGAATCCTCTGATAGTTTTTTTTTTTTTGGTAACAGGGTTAGAACTCAGGACCATGTGCTTGTGAGGCAGGCAGTGGAAACACTGAGCTCTCCTGATAGTTTTTTTAAAAAATTGTCATTCTAATTCTAAAACAATTTCCCTTTTATTTCTCCCCTCTTCCCCTGCTTTTTTTTTTTCCCGGTGGTGGTGGGGGACACACCAGGCAGGTACGGTGCCCCTGAGCTATATCCTCAGTCCTCTGCAACAGGGTCATACTATGTAGTTTCAGTTTGCCTAAAACTCACAGGGATCCTCCGGCCTCACCCCTTTCTCAACAAGAGTTCTTCCACTTACTGATATATAACATTCTTGATAGTGCTGCAAAGGCAAGTCAAATATCTTCACAATTTATACTCCAAGAAAGTGCCCCTATTCTTCTGGTATACTGGAATTAACAAGTGTTTGAAATTCTGTAGGCTACCCAATATGTGCTAGAGCAGAAATCTTACATCCTCCTTTCCCATTCCCCACCTTTTATGATCTATAGCCCAGGGGACTGCACAGTAGTTCAGTGACAAGACTGCTTGCCTAGTATGCATGAAGCCCTAGGTTCAATCCTCAGTCTCAATGGTGGTGGTAGTGGGGTAGATAGCTCAGTTGTTTTCGACAAATTCTAAGGAATAAGTAGTTTCTATTATTATACACAATATATTTCTTCTTGAATACCCTTGTCCTAAAGTAACTTGCCATGTAGCCAGACCGTGGGTGAACATGTAATGTTGTCTTTATTAGGGTGGACATGAGCAGAAACTCTCAAAAAGTGGCAAAAGTGGTAAGAGATAAATGTAGTCATTAAAAAGAGCACTAACCAAATAAATGGGCACTATATGGAAAATGAGCACTACTTGTACAGGAGCTTTTCTATTTTAAGATTGAGCAATGTAAGGATGAAAAATTCTTTTAAAACAAGTGAGAAACAAGTTCTTCTAATACTATCACCCATAAATGGCTATGTGGTCTAAAAACGCCACAGGTTTAAATATTTCGCTATATATTATACCTTGAAGTCTGTGTTGTTTACATGTTCAAAAACCAAGGCGGGGGTTCGTGACTAGAGGAAAGAAAAAAAACAAAAAACAAAAAACACACGTTAGTAATGGAACTGGCAGTCTTAGCAGGCACAATGTTTGCAGATGCTGCATGGTGAATTTGGCAGGCCTTGCCTCAGTAGTAAGAAACCCTCTGTTGCGATAAGCCCTCCCCGCTATGATCACCACCACTTAGGTCATTTTTAAGGATGGATTCAAACAGAAGACAGGGAGCTGAAGTCTCACCAGGCTCTAGGCAGCCCAACAATGCACCCATCGCCCATCAGCATCGGACCTGAGTTTGCAAAATGGATTAAGACATTTCAGTTTCCAGTGCTATCAGTCTCTTAGCCTAGAAGAATAAGAAATAGTCTGTGGGTCTCTTTGAAAGAAAGACCTAAGCCAGTTAAAATGGTATATGGATTAAGCACTTCTAAAGCATGAGTTAATGCAGAGAGGGTTAGGGGAACAGAAAGAGGTCAGCTGTGCTCCGGGTCCACCTCAGGCCTCCTGGGCCTTGCTAATGCCTATGATACTCACCACAGGGTCTTTTACAATGTCTGCCAATGTGATGATGTTGGGGCCTCCTCTTAAATTCTCCAAAATCTTTATTTCACGCTTAATTTTCTTCTTTTTTACTGGCTGAAAGGGTAAAAATGTTATCAGTGAAAAAAGTTTCAGAACATTCCAACAGGTAGTATAATTAATGAAGGTGTAAGACTTCTGAATTCCCTTCTCCTGGCACTATGCTGGCTAACTCTGTAGCTACAAAAGCTAAATTAAAGGAAAAAAGATTTCCATTCCAAAGACCAGAGCACTGCAGAATTAATGTCTCAATCAACAGCACCCCTCCCCCTCACACACACTGGGGACGGAACTCAGGCCTTCGTGCTTACCAAGCTGGCACTGCCAAAGCACTGCGCTACTCAGCTACATACCCAGCCCATATTATGAGTCCTAATATGCTGTTTTTCAAAACTTTACTTACTAGTAATTTAGCTGGTTATCGATACTAAGCTGTATCATAAAACAAACAAAACAACACCACCAAAAAAAAACAAAACAAACTTTTTAACACGAGTCTTTTCTTATTTCTTCCTCTTAAGTCAACATAACAGTAGGTGAAAGAAATCAGGGCCAACAGCAAGGACACTCAAAACTGTCTTTGTTAAGAATAACCTGAGGGTAAAGTGTGGGTTTTGAGTCACTGTCTCATACAAACCCTACCTTTAACAGATTCATTGTGTGCCTATGGGTAAATTATGTAACTTCTGTAAGCCTTTCATTATATGTAAAAGGAGTAACAAACAGAATCAAGTAAGATACCTGAAAAGAGCACGAATATTCCTGGGACATAATACATAGTAAGTTTGGTTTGCATTATCACCAACACTCTTATAAATAAATCCCTTTGGGCCAGGGAGGTAGCTCAGTAGCACTGTGCCTGCCTGGCAAATGTAAGGTCCGGAATTCAATTCTAGGTACTAGGGGAATAAAAAAAAAAAAAGAATCCCTTCTTTTTAAAGGACTGAGCATGGTGGCACATGCATATATTCCCAGCAATCCCAGCACTGGGAAGCTGATGCAGGAAAATCTCCAAAAATTTGAGGCCAGTCTGGACTATACATCAAGATCCTATCTCAAAACAACAAAAAAAGCCAAAACAAACAAACACACAACCTCTCCCAACAAACTGCTTTGCAGAATCTACACAGTCTATCTTCCAAGTTCTTTTGTCTTCATTTTTTTCCACATCTGTTTTGGGATAGAAATTCTTTGCGTTTTTCTGAGGACTCTGTTCTATCTGTACCTGTACTAGCCCAAGAAAAATATAACGCAAACCTCGTGTAATTTTAAATTGTCACACCAAAAAAGTAAAAGCCCAGACACCCAACCCCTCCTCAAAAAAATTTTTTTTGGTGGTACTGGGGATTCATACTAGGGCCTTCCACATGCTAGGCAGGTGCTCTACCACTGAGCTATATCTGCAGTCCTTTTTTAAAAACTTGAGATAGTGTCTCTAGTCAAGTTGCCCAGGTGGGTCTCGAACTTGGGATCATCCTGCCTTGGCCCCCTAGAATGCTGGGACTGTAGGTATACACCACCATATCCAGCTAATCCATGGTTTCCTTATCCTTGCTCCTACCAGAACTCAGCACATTGGCTGGAAAGCAACGTGATCATTTTCTTTTCTTTCTTCAAGTATTCAGATCTTTCCAATCTGCCAGCCTATCTGAGAGATCTTTTCCTATCCAGAGACTAATACATCAACCCATTTCCTATTTTCTACCAAGTTGCTACTTCCCAATAGCTGGCTTATGGCAAAAAGCTATTAGTTTATAAAATTTATTTATAGAATCCTTCTAATCTATAAATTTATAGAGCTGGTTCATTACAGACCAGGCAGGTGATTTATACTCTATCATAATCACTGTAACTTTTTCTTATCAGATGAGTAGGGAGAGATGAAAACTTTTAAATACAGCTGATGAAAGAACTTCACCTATAAGCATGTCATCTACTGCATACTTGTAGCGTACAGTACAATTAGGAAAAGTGAGCTGAAAATAAAATCTAAATCACCCTTCACTTAAAAACAAGCTCCCACCCACCTAGAGTATAAAGCCTTAAAATTTTTAAGACCAGAAGGAAATGTAGAAATTAGATTTCTACTAGGACTTCACCAATTTAATCTCCCTTTTCAAGTCCATTGCTCATGTACAGTCACATGGTTTCTATAATTCAAGTGAGCCTAAGCTTTCAGCTTATCTATCTTGGCTGCACTGAGTAATGAGGACTTGTCTTAGGCCACATATAAAATATGTAATTAATGTATGTAACAAAATTATTATTTTTTGTATTTGTTATATAACATTAACAAGGGCAGGTGGACTGCAGATTAGACATGCCTGTTTTACATGAAATCTTTCTCTCACTTCTTTCTCTCTTTTCCTCTTGGTTTATCCTAGAAAATAAAATGCTTCCCTTCTCTACTCCCAACAAGACCTACCCAAATCTTCCTCTTTCTGCCTGAAACCAGTGTACAGAGCTTTTCATAACTTCCAACCTCTTCTGTATTACAAGACTCATTATATATGCCTTTTATATGGCTATAAATAATATGCTATTTCATTCTATCATATACCTTTCCATATGAAAACCACCCTACAATTATACAACTTGTCTCTCAAGTATATTTCCATACATGATTTCTGTATCAACCTTGAGAAAAGTAAAACCAGATTATTTCATTTTCACAAAAGAACTTCTAGGGTTAACTGCATTCAGAGTTTGGATTAAAATCCAAGTTTCTGATTTCTAGCCTGCTTCTCTTTCTACATGCCACATGAATATTAAACTCCTTGGTTCTCAAATGAAGCAGTTTAGCCAATTCACAAGGGTACTGTGGGATATTTTAAAATTTTGAGGAAAATCCATTCAACAATATTTTGTATTTGCCAGCCATTAGGTGTACTATCAGCTTGAGGCAGTTCACAGGTTCAATGTTAGACTGAACTATACAGTCCTTTTGAGAACCTATTTTTGTTTTTTTGTTTGAGACAGGGTCTCGCTATATAGCCCAGGCTGGCCTCAAACTCAGTGATCCTCCTGCTAAAGCTCCCAAATGCTAGGATTACAGGCATTTGACAGCACATACAGCTGTAAACCTATTTCTATGAAACTGGGTTTTAAATAGTTACGATCCCCCCCCCGCCAAAAAAAACCCAGAAAAGCAGAGTGATAGCTAGCATTCAGTAGAATTTAAAGATCTGAGAAGCTGTGCAGTGACTAATAGGTTTACATCCCCCAACAGCAATTAGGGTTACATAAAAAAGAATGAGTCTTTCTTTAATGAAAGTCTATAATTTTAAAAGTGACTACAAAGTTGTAAAATAGTTATTTAGAAAAAAAATTAATTAATTAATTAATTCATTCATTCATTTATTTAAGAAGTTATTAAGATGTAGCTACTAACTATTAGAAATTTCTTTTGACTCAGGGGTATCATAAAACATTACTGAGGTGCCTGGGATTCATCTCAGCAGCACCATGCTTGCATGGCAAGCGCAAAGTCTGGAGTTCAACTCCCAAGTACCAAACAAACAAAAAAACTGAGATGAAAAAAGTGCTATGAATTGAAAAAATGGGGAACACTCAGGATGAGTGGAAAGGTTGGTCCCTGTGGTAAGGAGATCTAAGATAAGTTCCTAGGACATGATAGTATGCAGTACAGTAACAATGAAAGTACAAGCTTCATATTGGCAACCCATATTATCCATATCTATATAAATACTCTGCTGCAAAACAGAGTATCAACCAACACTGACTTGTATTACTACAGGACAATGGTAAACCTAAACTGAGAAGCAGTGACCTCCTCCTCCAAGTTATGTGCTTTCCCATTTGCCTTAATCCCCATCACTCACTAATCTAAGCATGGGGAATTATATCAGACTAGCTGCACTGATGTTATGTTTGCCCCTTAAAGCTGGTATTTGTGACTCCTCATTGCTACAAAAAAGGTTGTCTTATTTATTGAAAATAAAAACATAGAATGTAATTAAAAATACAATAAATGAATATCAGCTAAACTGAGATCATATCTTAAATCCTTTCCTCTACTACAATCTAACTGTATGACTTGAGTGAAATCATTTTTCTTGCTTCAGTTCCTGATCTGTCAGGTAAGTACAATCTATTCTTTGGACTTTATAGAGGATATAGTAAAGGGCCTAAACCACTCCAAAAGCCTTTTAAATGTGATTTATAAAAAGACATTACTGACTTTTTTTTTTAAATCTACATTCCAAATACCTCTGAAATTGTCTGTCTTATACTCACCTTGAGAATTTTAACAACAACCTTTTCATTATTTGTGATGTTGATGGCTTCAAATACTTCACTGTATTTACCCCTGCCTAGTTTTCTAACCAGTTGGTAGTCGTCTTGATTCCTGTGAACAAAAATTCAGAGTCAAAAGGATTAAAGAATTTCAAATTAGGGCTGGGGATTTAGCTCAGTGGCACTGTGCCTGCCTCCCAAAACTTATAATAGGAGTAAAATATAGGGGTTATTTTAAATGTTTCACTGTATTTTTAAAACTTAGGCCATTTAAAAACATGTGTAAAAAATAAATATACCAAATTCTAGAAATAGAAAAATTTGCCTTTCAATTTATTCCTTCAAATTGCAAATTGTTCACACCCCTACTGGCAAACCACGGAGAGATTGCATTAGAATTTGTTACAAACATTTGTCTCAAGTACAGAGAACAGTTTTTACACTTTCCTGTCCCATTCTTCCTGGACCAATGCTGGCACTTAGGGTTGTAACAACACTTCAGTTAGGCTCTACTTTGAAAACAGCTCATTTTTAATGGGCTTCCGCAAATATAATGCTTTCAAATATATAAGTTTTACCTCTCACTTGCCCTCCAGAGCAAGCTCTATGGATCGATCATCCATGTAATAGAGTCTGTCAAACATAATAAACATCATGAACCATAGTTAGGAGCCCTTTCTTTACTTTTACCCATACTCTCTGCCAATAAACATCAAAGGTCACAGAGATAAAGGATAAAGGAAATGTCAACACTTTCCCTCACCTTCAACTTAGATGACTTTGCCCTAAAGAATGACAAACATAATTTCTTTAATAAGGTCTAAATTCCATTTACTCTTAAGAGAATCCAACATGTACTAAATCAGTCATTCACTATCTGTCTTCTAGCAGCTAAAAAGAAAGCAAATAGGGCTGGAATGTAACTCAATGGTAGAGCGCTTACCTAATGTGCACGAGGCCCTAGGTTTAAAATCAAGCATGAAAAAGAAAACAAATTAAGAAAGAACAAAAAAGGTACAAGAAAAATGGACAATGTAATAATCCTGACAGGTATATGGAAAGAAACCTTTTCCTCAGTTCTCATTGAGGTCACAAACAAACATGGCTCCATGTCAAAAAATTTAAAGGGCTGTTTCTGCCATTTAAGAAATGTAAAACACTCAAATGTAAAGACAGTGACTGAGGTTTGTACAGTTAAACATAAATATTATCTACAGTTCCCAAGTCTGTGAAGCAAGTCTGTGAAGTAAGTGAAGAACTGCTAGATTATCAAGAGTGATAACATTTACTGATTGGTACCACGGGGTCTTGATCACATTTTTAGGGTTCACAATACCTCTTCATTTCTGAGACAAAAATATTTACTGTTTAAAAACCATGGTATAACATGGATGAAAATACACCCTTATGGCAATTTATGGTGAGTCTTTAAATAGGCTATGGTGATCATATGTAGTCAGATATAAAATTTGGTGCACAAGAACTGTATTTTTGAGTTTTCAAGTTGTTTTCTTTTGCACTTGAATGTCAAAATGCTTCTATTACGAAAAGTATGATATGATCAAATAAATGCATGCCACACTGGGATAGGAAATGCAAACATTCAAATGAGTCTGCACAGAGAATTAGGAGGGCAAACACAGCTGTTCAGGCAGACTACAACTGTTCAAGATGGAATTTGGGCTGAATTCCCTCATCTCATGATAAGGGCAAATGTTTAAGGATTTAATTTTGCTTTTCATCAAAAAGAGAACAGCTTTTTGGAAAACTGTTCCATCCTTTAGTATCATGGGAGAACATTTTCCAATTCTAAAATATAACACTTTTATAATAATTTTTTGTTTTCAAAATCACTAAAGTATCAATTTTCACCTATCTGCAATGTCCTTAGCTTGACAGGGAGGCTGATAGGTTAAATCTTTGTTATCAGTTTCAGGTATAGAATATATAAATAAAAATAACATTTCAGAGACTGAAATGATTTTAAATGGTAAGCCCATCAAAATCATTAACTTGCCACTCTGCTTCATCACTATAGAACAAAACCTGCAGCTAAAAGAAATTAAAGTTGTGCTTCAACTTCAAGGTTTGGAGAAGCAGAATCAGGGAGTTTACCAACATGAATTAGTCAACAAGCCTGCAAGATTCAGCCCTTTGAATGAGTACAGTGAAGTAAATGGAAACAATTACCCCCATTCCACCACATGTGACTCGTAGTCCCAGTACTCGCGGGGTCTGTGTGTATTAACATCTGTGTAAACTCTGGCCCTGCTTGGCACGGGTCCCGACATGTCAGACAGGTTGGCGGACAAAGCTGAACTTGATGTCTGAAGATCTGTCAAAGACTATGTTTGGAGGCGGCTGGGGGGAAGACTTTATTCAGACCAGTTTTCTTCAAACTGCCGAAAAAAAATGCAAAAAGGCCAAGAAATCATTTTTTTAAGTACATGGTAATAAAAATATAAGAAAAAATTCATTTTCCAAACAGTAACAGTCTCAAATACATCTGATTCTCTTCATTAATCAAAAACTATATCCCAATTCTATCAACTACTGTTTCCTATTAACTTTGGGGGGGATATATTAAAACTGATACTGGTCCTAATCATATTCTGCAAAGTGTGGGAGCCCGGCCATGGCCCTCTAGGAGTTTGACATTTAAAAGGAAACTTCTTCACCTGTACACTCAAGGCATTGATACAATCTATGTAACATTTGTTACTTTTCTAGGACTCTGCTTTTTAAACTTGTTGCTGCAATGGAAGAAACTCAAAGAGACAGCTATAGATCTGATATTCTTTGTAAAGTCAGAAAATCCGGTCTTTGCATAAAAGATACAAATAGTTGCTTGGTGCTTCCTGTTGATGTGAACCTATAAAAGGAGCTGTTTCTGTGAAATAAATCAGACTTCTCTTGGTCTCCACTCAGGCTTGAGTGTTCTTTCCTTTCTCAATCCTCACTCCCCAAATCAGGCGTGTTCGTGTGGTGACGGCTGGACCTCCACAGCAAAGCAGTCTAACTTCTGCATGAAATATTTAAATGTTCTTTATAGGATAACTTAGAAGGTAAAACTGGCACTGAGGATAGATGTCTCAGCATTACCAAATACAATCTATAACATTTGTTACTTTTCTAGGACTCTGCTTTTTAAACTTGTTGCTGCAATGGAAGAAACTCAAAGAGACAGCTATAGATCTGATATTCTTTGTAAAGTCAGAAAATCCGGTCTTTGCATAAAAGATACAAATAGTTGCTTGGTGCTTCCTGTTGATGTGAACCTATAAAAGGAGCTGTTTCTGTGAAATAAATCAGACTTCTCTTGGTCTCCACTCAGGCTTGAGTGTTCTTTCCTTTCTCAATCCTCACTCCCCAAATCAGGCGTGTTCGTGTGGTGACGGCTGGACCTCCACAGCAAAGCAGTCTAACTTCTGCATGAAATATTTAAATGTTCTTTATAGGATAACTTAGAAGGTAAAACTGGCACTGAGGATAGATGTCTCAGCATTACCAAACTATTTATCCTTTCTACAGAAGACATTATTAGTAAGAGCAGTACTTTCCTACAGTAGCTTTCTCATGGCTCAAGCAGGGATAGAGGCCAAGAGTACAAACTGTTAGTCTAACTCAAGTGATAAAACAGGAAAGGAATAATGACTTTTCTCATATATATTCAACGTTAACTTAGTGTTCCAAAACATTTGAGGGACCTTATGTACTAATCAGTAGACCCATGAACATCTCAAAGATACACTTGATTCCATTCAACTGTAAAATGCAGTAAGGCTGGGGATTTGGTTCCACTGCTGATGTGGCAAACTCAAGGGCCCAAGTTTGATCACCAGTACAAAAAAAAAAAAAAGCTGCAATTTTTCAGTTTGCTTAATAAAAACTGGTATTAGAAGTCATACATATTAACTGACCCAATTAAATGAGGGAAATTAGTAAATTAAAATTAAGGCTGAGGGGAACCTATTAAAATTTTAGACATGATTTCTATCATTTTATCAAATCAAAGCAGATGTCTTCCCTTTTAATCTTTTTGTCTTCCCTCTCTAAAATTCTTAAAGTATTAGCTGATTCTGTTTACGGTATGTTTAATTTAAAACGTATTGAGCTTTCAAGTGGTAATCTGAGAAGGCCATTAGTACCTATGCAGTTTGCAGTTTTCTGGTTGAGAATCCATAGCCCTTCATCTAATCATTAGTAAACACCAACCAGAAAAATGAGGAAAAAAACTTTTTTTTTTGAGATGGAGTCTTCTACTGTAGGTCAGGCTGGCCTTAACTAGCAGTACACCTAGGTGTGGTGGCACAATCTGTAACTACAATACTTAAAGAGGCTGAGGCAAGAGGATCACCTTGAGTTCAAGGCCAGCCTGAACTACATAGAGACCCTGTCACCAAAAAAAGGTCCAATCTAGCCCACCAAGGCAACATAGCAAGACCCTATCTCCAAAGCAACAAATAAACAACAAAAAAAGAAATGCGGTTGTGTGTGTGGAGTTGTTATTCCTAAAAACTGTCAACTAGCAACGTCATAAAAGACAAAGGCAGGATAAAGAGATATAGAATCATGACAACTAAATGCGATACCTTACTTACTTCAGACTATCCTTACTGACAAAACCGGAATTTAAATGGAAGACTAAAGTATTGTACAAATGGACAAACAGCATAAAATCATATAGCTAAGAAAATCTCTCTTCCTAAGAAAATTGCCTGAATCACAGGTAAAAATAGGCGATAATGTACATAATGTATCCTTAAACTAAATGTTCAGGAAAAACATGTGCCCACATATATGTACATGTGTCTATACAGTGTACACTCAAGAACAGACACACAAATGATAAAACAAAAGGAGTAATAGGTAAATCTAGGCTAAGAGGTAGATACAGATGTCCTTTGTTCTATACTCATTTATATATTTGTTGAAACATTAAAAAATTATATTAAAATATACATAACATGAAATTTACTGTTTTAGGGCCGGGGATTTATGTCAGTGGTGCTACTGCCTATCTTGCAAGCACAAGGTCCCAAGTTTGATGCCCAGTACCATTTAAAAAAAAAAAAAAATTTACTATTTTAAGCACATTTAAGTGTATAGTTC